CTCTGCCCTGTCGCCCTCCAGCACCCGCTGCACCAGCCAGCCCTGCGAGAGGAATGATGGCTACTGTGACATGCCCACCCGAGACCCCACGGTACGTGGCGCCTGCTGGGGGCGGGGGACAAAGCTGTGCTGCGGTGGGGAATGTGGTCCATGCCCGCTTGTGCTGAGCCAGGGAGCCCGAGGCGTAGCTCCGTGCCTCAGTTTCTGCAACTGTGCCATGCAGGGCTGCTGCTGACCCTTTGAGCCGCCCTTGCTGGCACAGCAGTCCTGGACCAGAGCTGCTGAGACAGCTGTGTGTGGGCAGGCGGGTGTCCTCTGAGGGGCTGTGCTCCTCACTGCCTGCACCGCTGGGAGCACAGCTCATGGGGCTCCCCACAGGTGCCTTGCGGCTAAGGGTGCCCATGTGCTGGCAGGAGTGTATGCGCTGCACCTTTCTGCATGTGTGTGTGACAGCGGGTATGGCACACGCAGGCAAACTCACACCCCCGTGCATGCAAACCTGCACAGCTGCACACCGTGCACTGTGTCCCCACACAGCTGACTGTGCCCACACCCTCTGCTCCCTCCCGGCCCCGGCCCTGGCCCCGTGCGGGGCCGAAGAGGGTTTCCTGCTGCCTCATCCCAGCTAGAGAAGGTGACATGACCGGGCTGGGCACTCGCCCTGCTGGAGACACCCAGCTGGGAAGGCAGGTTTGGCTGGTGCTGGCTCTAGCACAGTGACTCGGTGCCCAGCTGCCCGGTTTTTCACTGGTGCCCTGTGATGCCTGATCCCTGGCACAGTCTGTTGCTGCCATCTTGGGGCGCTGTGCCCCAGCCCCCAGCATGGCCCGTGGCAGCCAGGGAAGCAGCAGTTTCTCCATGGCAGCAGCTGCTCTGTACAGCATCACACATGGTGGCGGGCACTCAGTGCCCCAGGTATCAATCGGTGCTGCACCATCCCCAGAGCCTCAGCCCAGGCCGGGAGCAGGCATCACACACGCAGCCTGGCTCGGGCGCACAGGGGAGCAGCCTGGTAATTTTCCACTCAGGTTTCCTTCCAAGATCTGGTCAGGCTCTGCTCACGTTGTCTCCCGCTCTCTTTCCAGTCAGCCTTCATTCACACCCGTTGTGGAGGCTGGTCTGCCCTGGTGCAGGGTCTGGACCTGCCCTTTGCTTCCCTGCAGCTCTATCCCACCATCATCCGCCAAACAGGGAGGATAAGGGCTGGGAGATTCTTTTCTGCTTCCCTGCAAGCAGGAGAGGAAGCTCTTTCCTTTTCCAGCCAGTACCCCCACATCCCTCCCTGTGCCCAAGGGCCTGGGAAAAGTGCTGTGGGAACAGCCTGGTGGTCTGGCCCATGCCCTTGGGCTGCAGAGGCGCAGCCGGAGGCATGGGGTAGGGAGGAGAGGCGGATGCTCCTGCCCACCACATGCCTGCAGCTGGGGCTCAGTGGGAAAGGTCTCCCCGCTGTGCCTCTGGAGCCACCCATCCCTTTCCTGGCAGGGCTGGCTCCCCTCTTCCCTCTCCCTGGCACTCACCCGGGTTTTAAACACCCACCTGAGCCCCCAGGCACGAAAGCAGGGGCAATGGAGGGGGTGCGGCATCACAGCCCACTGCCAGCATCTCGCCTGCCCCTTCCCCAGCGCCCACCACCCCAGAACGAGCTGCACCACATGCAGTGCCAGCAGTACCCTGCCCTGGTGTGGGACCCCTGTGCCCCAACCTGCCTGGTCCCCAGCCCCCAGCTCTGGGGTGAGGGAGCAGGTTGGGGGGCCGGGGCGAGTGGAGGAGCTAGCAGTGCTGTGGAAGGGAATTCCTGCCTCCCCCTCCCACGCCAGGCCCTGGTAGGGGGGACCAAGGGGGGACCCAGCAGCTGCCGCCAGCCACAGGCATTCACTAAAGCCCTCGCCACCACTGCTAGTGCAGGGGTCCCCACCCGCAGGTGCCCACACACCGCCCCGATGTGGGTGCCAGCCTGCTGCCATGGGATGGCCATGGGGCAGCAGGGACTGCACTACTCCCAAACCGCAGCCTTGTGGTCTGCATGCAAACACAACCTGGGGGCTTCCCAGCCAGGGCTGACGGGTGGCAAAGGTGAGCAGGGCTTGGCAGCTGGCACAGGGTGCTGGGGCAGGCACCCGTGCCGGGGCAGGCGGGGAGGCTGGATCGGTGACACTGGCTTAGGTTTCCTTGGTGCTTTGATGGGCCCACCTGCTATTTTCCACTCCTGTGCTTTTTTTCCTCCTTTTCCCAAGCCGGGAAGCAAATGTACCAATCGCAAAACAGACTTGGGCGCCTGCGGTCATGCCAGGTGCCGGAAACAAGTGCACGTTGCAGCCCCGGCGCTGCCGTCAGTTCTGCCCCATTACCCAGCCCCGAGGGCAGTGCCAGCAGCACCCGCTCCTGCCAGAGCCAGGGCATGGCGGGGCTGGCTCAGTGCCTCCTCCCATCCCTTCTTCCCCAGCAGCCTCCTGCCTCTGCACCACACAAACCACCATCCAGAGGAGTTTGCAGCCAGGAGGCGAGGGTGCCCACATTTGTTCCTACCCACACCATCACTTTGTGCCTCAGTTTACCATTCCGCAGGGCAAAGGGAGGCACGTGCAGCTGCAGTGAGTGGCCGTGGCTGCTGAGCCGGCTCCGCGCAGGGCCGTGCTGGCTCCCAGGAAGGGCAGGCTGGCGGGGGGCAGGACCGGGGCTGTGCCGCCCCATTAACCACCCTGGGTGAACATAGGGTCAGAAGGCCAGAGCCACCCGCAAAATCGCCAGCAGCTCTCCACAGTCCCATCCTGAGCAGCTGACGTCTCTGGCCTGCAGCCAGTCCTGGCCTTGCCTGCCTTCGCAGTGCCAAGCAGGCCTGTGGCAACCTCTGCCCATGCCAGAAGGTCACTGCTGCAGAGGGGACAGATGAGGGCAGGGAGCTGGCTCTGAGTGATGCCATCCCGCCGGGGCTCCCCTTCTCTCTTCTGCTCCAGCCTTGCCCTGCGAGCCTGCGTGCCGCTCTGGCTGGAGGGGAATTTGGTCCTTGGCCCAAGGCACCCGATGTCACCAGGGCACGAGGTTCAGCACAGGATGTGGCTGAATGCCACCCCTCTTGCCGTGGAACCGGCTCTGCCGGCACGGTGCATCCCCAGGGAGAGTGCTGCACCAGCACCCTGCACAGCGCTTGGGGCAGGCTGTGCACCGGGGCAAATCCTGCCCTGAGGCCACCCACCGGGCTGCAGGGCAGTGTGGCGGGAGCCCTGGCTGGCGTGCGCAGCACTGGTGCAGCAGTACACGCGCTGGGGAGCTGTGCCATGGCTCCGGTGCCCAGGATGTGACCTGCAGGGGCTGTGGGAGCGCTTTGCAGGGCATCCATGCCATCTGCACGAGGCCAGTGGGGTGCGCACCCCCGTGTGCACGCTGTGTCCCTGCGTGTGTATGGTGTACACAGCACGGTGCGTGTGTATATATATATATACACATGCGCGCACATGCAAGCAGGGATTACGACAAGCATCCTGTTGTGATGCAAAAAGCCCTGGCCCTGCAGATGAATAACGCTGCAAGATGCCTCCTCAGATATTTTTGCTGGTGCCAAAAATAGTCTCCCTC